AGACAGATGAAAGAGTTGGACCTGATTTTGATGATATAGAGTTGTCATTCATTTTTTATCAGCATTCCAAGGAGTGCATATTTGAAAATCATCACTGTCCCCAAAAATATTCCCCATTCCAGTAAAGCCAAGCAGATGAAAGTTAGTTGAAAGATGTTCTTACCAACATTGTAAGTGATCCACTTCATATTTCTAGGAATTCAAAGTCAACTTTGAAATTTTCAGGATTCTGAAATCCTAGTTCAAGTCCTTGGGAAGAAATGGCATAATTACAATGACTGCAAAATACAGAGGAGATTCAGGTAAGTGCAAAATGCCACACAGGTACATCATTCTCACTGATGGTATCCACACATAACCTGCCATCCATCTAGAAACTGGGAATACTTGCTAAGGAAATGCTTACCACGAGGATGAATGCACCCCTAGCGTGCAGAGGAGTTGACATTGCATACATCCAGTGCTCAATGGGATCTCTGGGAATATAAGGATATGTGTTCTTATAACACAGCTACTGGAAAGAATCCGCATGGCCACACTTCCTAGAAAGTGCATAGAGAATACAGAGAGGTGTGAATCAGTTTCCTAAGTACACAGTTCTTACCACCAATGCCCACACCCATATTGTCACCTATCTAGCATCTAATTTCAGTGTCACAACTTTGTGTGGTTACAGGCCCACCTTGAAGCTCATGGTGAAGTATAGTTGACATCATTATCAAAAGAAAAATCTCGGGCTTGGCGTGGTGGCCTAGCAGCTAAAGTTCTCACCTTGAACATGCCAGGATCCCATATGGGCACCGGTTCTAATCCCAGCAGCTCCAGTGCCCATTTTGCTCCCTGCTTGTGGCCTGGGAAAGCAGTCAAGGAAGGCCCAAAGCCTTGAGACCCTGCACCCACGTGGGAGACCTGGAGGAAGTTCCTGGCTCCTGGCTCCAGATCAGCACAGTACTGGCCATTGCACTCACTTGGGGAGTGAATCATCAGACAGAATATCTTCCTCTCTGTCTCTCCTCCTCTCTATATATCTGACTTTGTAATAAGAACAAATAAACCAGTTTGGTTTTGATTTGTTGTATTTCAGCGATTATGCGGTTCTGGAAGTCTTCCCGCTTCGTGTCCACGTCTCTGAAAAATTTTAGCACTATTTTTTTAAATTCCTTGTCTGGTAACACTTCCATGTCTTCATCTCGCATCTCCGATATTAATAATGACTTTTGGCCCTTGTTCGGTGGGGTGCTGGCTCTTTCATTAACAACAATAAAAAAAAAAAGAACAAATAAACCTTTAAAAAAAAAAAAAGCTCTGAAGCTGAGTTTCATGCTCTGAAGCTGAGTTTCATGCTTAAGACTCCCAGCATTTCAGGACTATGGAACAACACATCAGAACAATCCTCAGAGAACTGCACAGATCCATAAATCTAATGTATGTAGATTGTTCAATATTTAGGCCCAGGAACACACAGAGCCCTACCAATCTCTTCACATTGCCCTCCTCCTTTTTATATATATCTGAGCAAACTGAGAAACATCACAGTAAGAATAGCAGAACTTGCCTGAGGTCCAAGGACAACCATTATTTCTATGTTGCATTCTGCTAATAAAGACATTTCCTTGTCATTAAGAAGAGGGCTTTTAGCTGATTATCTGGAAAGGCTCAGTATAATTTCCTGTAGCAATTATTCATCACTGATGACTAGCAATGCTTCCCTTAATCAGCACAAAATGCAGACACCAGTGCACTGTGTGCATGAAGACATCTGAAGGCCCAGCATCACCAAGGGCCCAATTTTGGTGACCTGGGTGCATTGTTGTCCTTCGTGTCCCTCACTGCTCCAATATCATGGTATAAACTTGCATGGGGGCATCCTGCCAGATCTCAGGATGTGGCCTAGTATAAATTGAGCAAAACCCAAAAGGACATTAATCCTCAAAAAGCTCAAACCCCACAGACTGGAAATTTTGTTTAAGAGAGCACAGTGTGGGCCTGGCTTGGAAACCTAGCAGCTAAAATCCTCACACTGCACTTGCCAGGGTCCCATATGGGTGCCAATTCATAAGCCTGTGGCCCCACTTCTGATCCAGCTCCCTGCTTGTGGCCTGGGAAAGCAATTGAGGACAGCCCAAAGCATTGGGAACCTGCAAGCGTGTGGGAAACCCAGAAGAGGTTACAGGTTCCTGGCTTCAGATTGGCATAGCTTTGGCCATTGCAGCCACTTGAGTAATGAATCACTGGATGGAAGATCTTCCTCTCTCTCTCTCCTCCTCTCTGTATATCTGACTTTCCAATAAAAACAAGAAAAAAAAATCTTTAAAAAAGAGAGAGAGCACAGTATAGGAAATCATAGATACAGCCTCCAGCAATGTCACCCAACATTATCTGTGCTAGGATGTAGACTTAGTGAATGAATTTACCTGCCACCTCTACCTGTAGTGGCCATTTCAGGCCACCTGATTGGAACAGCAATATTAGTTCAACATGCAAGCAACCTATGCTGTCTTCTCAAAGACTTCCATCAAATCTATAAACAAGTGGCACCATTCCTAATGATATCCATCATCAGAATGTTCCTAGAGGGGATGCCATCCCCATGGGCCCTACCTTTCCTCAGCCCTTTCCAGAAGACCAATATTACTTCAGACACTCGAAGTTCAATATGGCCAACCCAAATAGTGTCTACATTATAAGTCTTTAGGACCATACACACCTACCATGACTCCTAGAGGTTATGTATGTTATCCAGTGTATTTCTAAATCCCATGTGATGCTGTCGACTAATTGCATGGGGCAAAAAAGTTGATGGGGAGCTAACACTCCAGTCATGCATACGGTCTTTTCTTTCTTCTCATTGCTGGACCAGCATGCTATTCCTGGAGGCTTTCAGTGCGCTAACCTTGAGGACACTTGGAGTGGGACATTCTCCTGGGTAGCCTAGGGTAAACTGAGGAGTATCAAGAGGACACAGAAATGCAGAGGTCTGCAGAAACATTAAAGTTCAGACCCCAGTGACTGAGGGAATCCTGCTTAGAGAGCATGACCCATAACACCAGAGACAGCCTTCAGCAATGCCACCCAACACTACTTATGATGGGGGCTGGATACAGTGAATGTGATATACTTTCTCCCTCACTATTTACAACTTGCAGCAGCTGTCAGAGGCTACCTAATTGGTACCAATTACAAACTCAACATACAAATGAACTGACCTGCCCTTCTGGAGCCTGCTTCCAAGAATGAAAATGAGTGGCACCTCTCCTGATGACGGGCACTCCCAAAGAAGATACTATCCCCATGGGCTGTGCAGATTCCTCAGTCAAGTTTCAAAAGGATCCAAAAGATTATCAAGGCCTGGCCCTCAGCTGTCTTTATAATTAGAGGGATCAGTATTACTTAAGCAGGAAATGGACCTAATACATAGAACCCAAATTCAGCATCTCCGGGCACATATATTGCACTGGATGGGTTTGCTGGGCAGACCAACAGGACTCCTGCAAACAATTTGCTCTACCTCTAGGATCCCAAAGGAAGATCTTTCAGCCAAACTATCCAGGAAGCCTGACTTTCTCTAATACTTAAGAAAAACCCTTCACTCAAAGTAATCACAATGAATCCTTGACCAATTCCAAAGAGCACTCAAGTGGAAAAATGTGGAGTTATCACTACAGATCACATTGTCTCCGTCCCTTTTTTCCACTGTTAGAGTGTCATGCTGAATCTCAGCTGAATGAGAATGACAACATAGGCTTCAGTCATTTTGTTCAGCTTTTTCAGGAATGCATATTTGATCACCAACAATTCATTCATGTTTATCCTCCCTGGAAAAGTCTGCCATTGTAATGTTTGTTGAAGTAAACATTTATAGCCATCCTGAGTGTACTGCCATCTGGATGATCCCATGATATGTATACCCAGGGTCTCAGTGGCATCTCTGGGAATGTTGGGATAGTTACTCTTTCCTCAAGGCTATATGAACTATGAATGGCTTTGATACCTGGAAAATGCACAAGATACTCAGATGGTTAAATGCTATTTCCATGGTTACATACGTCTTATCACCAGTGCCCACTGATACCCTGACATCTTTTTAACATCTACCTCAAATATTAATCAGCTCTTTTTAGTCTTTTTCCCTGATGACTATGAAACATTTTGATCAATGCAAAATAGAGACACCAGTGAGTGGAGCTAAAATGGAGATAATTCCAATGCCAGTTAGACACTTCACCAATGCAGCAACTACTGCCCTTGGAGTTCACTAGTGTTCTGTGATCTTAGAGGGTATACTTGGCCCCTGTAATTTAGTCAGTCAAGTTTCTAAGAGAGCAAGAAAACTGTCAAAGTTTGATCCATGGCTGCAGCCTTCACTGTCAGAGAAAGCTCATGGATGAGTCAGCTCAACTATGTTCATCCACCAAACCTCCACAGAAACTGTTAGTGTTATTTCTTGTTTCACCTAAGGAAAACCTCTCAGGAACTCTACCCAAGAAGTCCAGCAATCTATAACACCTGTGCAAATCCCTGTGCTGAAGATATAACACATTCAATCCTGGATTAACTACTGAGAAGCACAAAAGTTAAGCAAGGATGGCTGTCACTCCCTTGCACTTTATGTTTATCTCCTCTAGATGTTCCAATTGACAGACCACAGTTTAATGAAGAGAACAGTAAAGAGTTTTCGCTTATTTTTTCATTTCAGCATTTCAGGGGATGGTTATTTTAACTTTGATCCAGACATACCCCTCACCCTGGAAAAGCAGATCCTTGGAATGGTTGCTGGAAGAGATGCTTATCACCATAACAATAGTACTCCCTGACTCCAAAGGAATCCATATGCATATATCTAGGACCTCAATGACAGCTCCAATGTCGTCCCTCACAGCTGCCCAAAGGAACATGTTCTGCACATAGCCAGGACATAAGCCAGTCGTGTACTAATCACAAGGCACAACCAAGTTGAAATGGCAGTTGGTTCATCCTCTTCCCTCCTGAAGCAACTTGCTGGATCTCAAATTCAATGAAGATGACAGTATAGAGTTTTCATTCATTTTGTCTATTTTCCAAGTGATGAATGTTTGAACATGATAATCAATACATACATAATACTTGTTGCTAGCAGTGCAGACTCTCAAATATTCGCTGGAGGAGACAATGCCATCATAAGTCATTCACAAGTTTCTGGAACACTCACTGCAAGTATCCAGGGCTTTCAGCAAATATTCATGGATTTCTTAATACTTAGATACATTTTTAAGAATGTTAGCAATTATACCATGACAATGTTGCCTGGAATTGCAGAGGAGATGTGAGATTACATTATTCTTGTCCATAGGTATACATATCTCATTGCCTGCCAGTATCCATCTACTCACTGTCATTTATCTAACACCTACATAAATTTTGCCTAAGCTGTTCAAGGTCAGATAGAAGACTGGGCTTGCAACTAGAATATGGTGTCATGTAGTATATTTTGTCAGAGAACATTCCTGACACTGAAGAAGTCTTTGAGTAACTTAATATTCCCAGTATGCAAAGCTACTCAGGACAGTTTTCACACAATCAGATGATAGATTTTTCACTTCTTTTTGGGTTTGTTGGGTGTAAGACCATTCATAACCTGTTTTTCAATCAAACCCATGAGCCATAGAGTATGGAATAACCCTCCCAGTTATTCCATATCCTCTGCATCAGGAAGGGTAAGTACACAGAGAAACTCATTTTTCTCCACATAGTCCCATAATTTAATCAACAACCAAGGACCTCTGTGACTTCATGTTACCTACTGCCTGCCCAGGTTCCCCTGTGTGACACTGAGAAGTGCTGCACATGCCAATTTGGAGGGACCCCATGTGATTTGTCACATTAATTTATAATAACTATTGATGGAGAAACACATATGCTGGCAGTACAAAATATCAATGCTAATCAGTGGTGAGAATGGAGTCCTTATAGAGTTTGGCATATGCCTTATTAAGGACTCTATGCACCATGCATGGATAACTTTTTTTCACTAGTTTGCTTTTCTACTCTGATCATAGGGGAAAAACTCCACATGTGGCTTGCATGTTGACCTCCGTGACTGCAACATAGGTAAAAAGAGAGAAGCCAGAGGGTGGAAGCCTTGAAAATTAAGCAGATTTTAATACTCTAAAGGCATCACTCCATAAAATCTGAAGACTGCCCATGAAACATGACCCAGGAGTAGAACAGTGAAATAACCCCAAAAGCCATAATCCAAGGAGATGAAAGAGGGAGACTAAAACCTGGGTACAGTCAATAGATAGATAGATAGATAGATAGATAGATAGATAGATAGATATAAATAGATAGACATATATAGATAGATAGACAGATAAAAAGATAGATATAGATCAGGTTCTTTCTGATAAAATGATCACTATCAGAACATTGATTGGGACATCCATATGACTTCAAAATGGAAGTAACACTGAAGCCTTCTCCAGGTTTCAGTAGAATTGTAAGTGAGTATCAGGCTTTCCTGATGGCTAATGTTTTAGGAGTGAAGCCAGCCTTGTAAGCTCCCTCAAAAAATGTCTAAAATGACACAAAGTATTGTTAAAAGTTGGCCTGTACTATATTCACCAGAAGAGGGATCTGTGTTTCTAGAGGTTTGAGAAACCCAAACATATAATGAAGATTACATTTGATGGGATAGATGCACTCTAACAAATGAACACTGCTGGGTCACATCACCCAACTTGATACTTGGAGTCTTTACATGTGTAAGTCACAGGACTTTCAAAGGGAGGCTAATAAATCAAGCTATCTAGTAAGTTTTGTAATTTCAAATGCCAACTGAATGTCCTGTACAAAAACAGGACACAGGCCAACCCTATATCATTCATGAGTTGTAGTTAAGTTAAAGAATGAGTTTCCCTCTTATTTTCTTTCATGCTGAAGCAATGTGATGGGTCTCAGTTCATTAAAGGCAATGTCATATTGAAATGATCTATATATTTCAATCATTTTGTTCATATTTCCAAACAATATGTCTCAGAATGTCTTCAGCAATCCATGAACCATCCCTTTTTCTTGCAATAGGACAAGGACATGTTTACTAATGTATGTGATGCTGCACTAACTTCGGGACAATATATATAACCCTATAATTCAAATTCTGAAAGAGAAACACAAAATATAATAAAGTCTGTACATACGTATTCACTAACATAATATTCAGGTTTTCAACTCAGTGAATTCATAGCATTCAGATCAGGCTTTCTGAACTGCCCAAAACAAATTTTTTTATTTTCAACCTAACTTGAATGTTAATGTAAAATAAAAATAACCTATCTCATGACTTTAACATCTGCAAATTACAACCATATATATCTTTTTTTTTTAAGATAAAATTATTTTCATTGGGAAGTCAGACACAGAGAGAAGGAGAGACATAGAGGAAGATTTCCATCTGCTGATTCACTACACAAAAGGCCGAAATGGCCAGAATTGAGCCAATATGAAGCCAGGAGGCAGGGAGTTCTTATGGGTCATACACATGCAAGCAGGGTCCCCACTGTGAGCCATTCTCAACTACCTCCTGAGATCACAAGCAGCGAGTTTGATGGGAAGCAGGGCTGATGGGATTAGAACCAATACCAATAGGAGATCACTACATATGCAAGGCAAGAACTTCAACCACTAGTTTACTGCACTGAGCCCACAACAACCTATTCTACTTAATGTACTTTACCTACCAAATTAGCTTAACATTTTTAATCTTGTAAAAAGGGCACATATTGTTGGGTCTCAGAACGGGGTGTCTCATGCCTGGATCCCAGATGCCAGGCACCATGTGCACATGGTGAGATGTACCCAGGTGTGCCTGGGTTCCAGGGGCTGCTCGCTTTAGGGTGAGTACAACAAGGGGGGAGGTCTCTGTGACTGGGCAGGTCCTGGGCCTAGCCACCCCCCTCATTGGGCGGTGAATGGGATTGGGAAGTGATGAGACCTTGGGCCTGGAAGTTTAAACTTACAGCAGCTTCCCGGCTGCTGGTGGGTCTCAGGATGGGGCATTTCATGCCTGGATCCCAGAAGCCAGCCAACATGTGCATGTGGTGAGCTGCCCCTGGGCAGCCAGTGTGCCATTTGGTGCCAGGCTCTGCCTGCTGGCTGCCCGGCCTGGACCTCTGGGATTTTGGTTCTTTGAATCACTGCTTAGGTAGCTCCAGGTTGAACCCACTATGCTTCTAGGATGTGAAGCAAACCTAAAGATTCCCAATGACACTAACTCTTCCTTTGAAAAACTTGTAAACACTGAACAATGCTGACCAACAAATACCAGTCCATACTAAAGCTATGACTCGGCGCTTATCCAGCAAAACCATATCCTGTTATCTGACATGATGATGGATCAGGAGAAGGGTCACATTAAGCAGGACCATTACATTAACTAGCGCTCGAGAACCATAACCGGGGATAGATTCTGTGAGGGATGTGTGGGCCAAACCCTGTGGAAATTCTAGCCCCACTGGTTAGCTCAAGATTTGGGTGGTGATGGACTAAGCTAGGTGTGACCAAGGAGCCTGCCATCAATCACAGATAAAATAACCACCAACAGTCTGGACAGGTCAGGGCAGCAGCACGCAAATGTGCATCATGAGTAGGGTATGGGGTGGGCCAGGCTGCAATGCTCACCAGCTCATACAAGGCCAAATGGAAGGCCAAATTCACCAGAACCTGGCTTAAATCCAATGGCATATATGAGAACTGGGTCTCGTAGTGGATTAAGGGGAGGAACTGGGGAAACCCTTGGAGAGTCATAGCTCCCGCTGCAGAACAGGTGGTGCAGACCTAGGGGTTGGAGAAGCTAGGCAAAATAGCTCCAACATCTGGGTAATGTGTCAATTGGTAATGGAACAGGGTGGACTGGGCAGGACTGAGCAAACCTTAGCCCACAAGCGAAACTAGAGACAAAGAGGGAGCCCAGGTCACACCAGGCTAGGTTCTTGCACCTATTGGTCTGTGTGAGCCAGGAACACTAAGTCACAGTGTCTAAGGCAGAGGTCGGGACAGGTGAGGAGCTGAGCCAACCTGAGTCAGAGCAACCACTGGCATGCGCATGATCTATGGGTGGGAACAGGTCTGGTTGTGGAGCTAAGGGGACAACGCTAGCTGGGTTGAGGTTCCCACCAAGGGACACACGGCCTGGAATGGGGGCTGCATTCTGATCAGGAAACAGTTGTAGTCTCTCTTGGCACAAGTGCGGACTGGGATTGGATGCACCAAGCTGGGCCAGACTCCAACACCTTCTGGTGTCCTGGAAGACCAGGGTAGATGTGCGATGGACTAGGCAAGGTCTCAACCCCTACTGAGCCATGTGTGATCCATATGTGAGTATGGACATGCCATGGCTGGGCTGAAACATCCAACAGCAAGGACCAGTTTGGGTTGAAGGCCAGTCAGAAAAAGCCTCTGTTCCTGCTAGGACAGGAGGTGAACTGAGTTGGGCTGACTCATGGATACACTGGTATGAGCAAAATCTGGCACTGGGAGAAGTTCTGACAGAGGAGCCTGGGCAAATTCTCTGGCATGACACAGTCCCTGAAGGTAAGCGCAAGAAACATGATAGAAAACAGCCCAGAACAGGCCATGGAAAGTACCAACTGGTACACATTTGGCATGGGTCAGGGGAAGACCAGGCTAAATCTGTTCAAATCATCCACTGGCAAATTCAACCACCAGAACAGTGTGGGTTGAGCCAGGTTCGGTCACAACAAAACCCAGTGTACAATACTGAATGCCAAGGTGAGGTTGCCTGTACCAGATGTGACCATGGCGCCCAACAAACACAGGAAGAGAGGGGGCAGAGCTGGCAGGGGAATAAGGGGTGGTTCCTTTGCTGGACAGCTATTCCCACTAGAAAGCATGAGCTGAGATGGGGCAGACCAGATTAAGCAGGGCTACAGTGCCTATACACCTCATGTGGACTAAATCAGGGAAAAGCCAGGCTGGGCTGATTATTCCTAATGGTGCAAACAAAATTAGAGAGAGTGGGTGAGGGTTGTTTTGGCTTAGCCACAGCATCAGCTGGCAGAAGCTGGCACTGGGGGTAAATTTTGACAATTCAAACCA